TGACTGCATCCGTCTGTTGCCAACGTTGCCATAAACACCAAATGGTGTTTCTGTGGACATTAAATTGTCTTGCAACATCACGTTGACTCGATCCTGCTTCAAGCATACCAATGGCTCGCAGACGCTCATTTTCGGACAGGCGTGGCATTTCGTAATGTTGAATAATTGCGTAATTTTGTTGTTTTTTCTGAGTGGTTGTTGTCAGCACGATGCTAAACAATGCATATGGAATCCCGTGATTGCACATGTTTTTATACCCATTCTTGGGTAGCGAAATGCATGGGGCTTGCATAAAAGTTAATTTTTGCATGGAATGCATGCTTTTCTGTAGCAGTGGCGTTTTTGTGACTTGATTCCATACAGACTAACCAAACTATACTTGTTTGAAAAATACACTAAAATATTGGTGTCACGGGAACTTTTGTTGTTGAGTATATGTCCCTCCTATCGACCAATCAGATTCCACCTCTCATATCACTTGCATCAAACAAAATTGCGGCGCTTGTCCACATATATATGTGTGCGTGTATATATATAATCTCTCTCTAATTTCTCTCTCTCTCTCTTTATATATATGATCTATATTTTGATTGGACTATGAATAGGCTCGTTAGGCCAACCGAAGTATAACTCCATAATTCTAACTGAAATCACGTTCATATAAAGACAGGTGACAAAAATCTTGACTAATATCAGTCAGTCCATCAGATTCTGATTTTATCATGCGCATGTGTTTATGCATCACTATCAAATACCAGAAGTTCGCAGAAAGGTGAGGTTATCCTGCCCAAACGGTGGCTCTCGTCACAATAATGCAAAATTAAACCAAGTCAATTGTTGACCTGACTAAAACACGGGGCCTCATGACGCACGTCAAATGAGGAAAGTGCGTTGGGCATCCGTTTTGTCACTGTTGCGTCTCGTTTGGAAGTGTCCTCCACATGTTTACCATAAAACTTTTCAAAAGCTTTGCCGAGGCCTTGGATGTTGTAATCATGATTGCAACAATGCGTAACAAAAGGAAAAGTTGACATGTTGGAATGCGGCGTAAAACATAAACCCACTCATCCCTTAATGTGTCAATCCACGGTCAATTTCCAATAAAACAAAATCGTAATATACATAGAATGCCAATGTTTAGAGCGTTTTTGGCAAGTTATTTCAGCCACGAACTCCAAATCTACCTCGTCCCTTAGTCCGTCTTACAGACCCTGATACAAATATATCAAGTACAGCCAATGCAAGTCTATATCGTTTGGGAAGGATAGATTACTGCAGTACCAGGCTGAAAACGAAGAGTCTCAGGGGCTCCTATTTTTTTTAAGATAATTGAACTGGTTTTTTTCTGTACGATATGTTAATTTCAGAGACTAGATGTAAGTCTACCCCTCCCTTAAAGTTCACATTTTCGTCTTACAAGCCGAAACCAACGTCCTTGCTGGCAGTTTTATTACACCCTTCCCTACATGTACAGGTATGTTTCTTCTGAAATATATCATGTGAGAGGTGAGTATGTGGAACTGGAAAGTCAAGACATACCTTCTCGTTCATGAAACCTCAGACCCGTGCAGATGCGGGTTAAAAAAAAGGTTTTATCGGGATCGGGTGATCAGGCTCTCTGACCTGGTTGATGAATGTCATCTTTTCCTAACTGCGTGGATCAATGCTCATGATATCAGTTATTGGGTTGTCTGGTCCAGACTCGATTATTGACATATCGCCGTATTATAGCTGTAACATTGCTGACTGCGGCGTTAAACAACAACAACAAAAATCAAACAGTTATGAAACCTCACCACAGATAACCCATGTAAGGGGTAACAATTTAATCATTCTCATCTCAACAGAACCTATCTGTATTACATGATGTTGGATGTTGTGGTTAGCCATGTGGAAGATCGAAGCCGGTCTTCGGCGGGACTGGTGAACGGTTTAACCATTGGGCTGCCATTATTCGGCGGTCAAGATCGTTTCAGAATGTATGACCAGACAACTGAACGTTTCACTGAAAGGACATGGCTTTATGCCGCTTCTAGTGATATGGCCATGTCAATGAGGTGATGTTAAGTGGGGTTTAACGTCGCCTTCAAGACTATTGCCCTAATATCGCGACGTACATGCACACGTGTGTGTGTGTGTGTGTGTGTGTGTGTGTGTGTGTGTGTGTGTTGTGTGTGTTGTGTGTGTGTGTGTGTGTGTGTGTGTGTTGTGTGTGTGTCTGCCTGCTTGTACTAGTTCGGACAAATGCCGGTTTTATCGTGCCAGCCCACTGAGATACCATACCACAGGATTACCCCACTCAGACACAGTATACTGACTCCGAGCCGACAAGTCCTATTTAGCCCCTTAATGCCGAGCGCCATCTTTTAACGTCTTTTGGTATGACCAGGCCGGGGATCGAACCCCTGACCTTCCCTCTCAGGTTAGACGCTCTATCCACTAGACCCCGGAGGCGGTCAAATGCCAGTGACAATACTCTATACCCGCAGGTGCTCGGGACACCAGAATATGGGCTTTCGGGCCCAGCTTTTGGCCTGACGCTTTAACCACTCGACGACCCTGTCGACCCATTTTGCCAAAATTCGGTACGTAAATTGCAAATACAATTACCGGTACACAATTGGCTTGAGCCTCTTGAAACTTTACCAGAATGAGTAAACTACTGCCTACCATGCGTCTAAAATTCTGAATTCCGTGTACCACTGTGTAACAGGCCTCTGCCTGATCAACAAATGGTTTTGCCAACTTTTGTTCCATTCCGCCTGTGAAACGTCAAGCAAACTCTATTGGCGCCACAACCAATCCAAAGTGATGAGTTAACTGACCACAATGAACATGCGATATAGACCTTCGATCAAGGGCATTGTGTTACAAAATGAGGAACCATGGTATTTTCCTAACAGCCTATCAAATGTATTGAGAAATAGACCTGGTCTATCAATAGAATAACGTCATTTCCGGCCTGTTTCTCCTCGAAGTCCACGAGACCGGGTCACATGCAGTCATAACACGCAACCGGGGATTATGATTTAATCATGAGATAATGTCAGACAAATATTATTATCGGTGGCGTTAGGGAAAATCTGTCTGATACGTCGAGTGGCGAGATTAGCAAATGCCGACAGATTGCGGCGCTGCGGGGAGTTACCACCAGCACAGCTCCACGCACGGCAAGGGACATTTAGTCAAGAGTGAGTGAGTATGATTTTGCGCCGCTTTTAGCAATATTCCAGCAATATCACGGCGGGGGACACCAGAAATGGGCTTCACACATTGTACCCATGTCGGGAATCGAACCCGGGTCTTCGGCGTGACGAGCGAACGCTTTAACCACTAGGCTACCCGACCGCCCCTTTAAGTCAAGAACTTTGTAAATGACATCAGTGATAATAAGAACAACACTCCTTCAGTGATCATAAGATTCCATTGTACGATTCCGATTAAATCATAACCATGTGTTTATGAATCAATATCTAATATAATTATTAATTTATGAAAGGTTTTTTTTAAATTACACTCCACCATAAGCAACAGGATGTTGTCACGTGACAATGTCTAACCAAGTGTGCACACATCTTGAGTTTGCATAAACATCCAGAGTGACAGGTGACAAAACACAAGACTAGAGGAAAAAAGGGATGACTTCAACTTTCTTAATAGTCAACCTTCTCTTTATGCCCAGCAATATCCAGCAGCACAGATGATATGTTTTGAACGACAAAAAGACAACATCACAATCCACAGGTGATATGTTTAGAACTACAGTGAAGACCACATCTCAATCCACAGGTGATATGTTTAGAACGACCGTGAAGACCACATTACAGTGCACAGGTGATATGTTTAGAACTTTAATGCACACATGGACTACATCACAATGCACAGGGGATATGTTTAGAACTACAATGCACACATGGACTACATCGAAATGCACAGGTGATATGTTTAGAACTACAATGCACACATGGACTATATCACAATGCACAGGTGATATGTTTAGAACGACCGTGAAGACCACATCACAGTGCACAGGTGATATGTTTAGAACTATAATGCACACATGGACTACATCACAATGCACAGGTGATATGTTTAGAACTACAGTGCACACATGGACTACATCACAATGCACAGGTGATATGTTTAGAACTATAATGCACACATGGACTACATCACAATGCACAGGTGATATGTTTAGAACTACAATGCACACATGGACTACATCACAATGCACAGGTGATATGTTTAGAACTACAGTGCACACATGGACTACATCACAATGCACAGGTGATATGTTTAGAACGACAGTAGAGACCACATCACAGTGCACAGGTGATATGTTTAGAACTACAATGCACACATGGACTACGTCACAATGCACAGGTGATATGTTCAGAACTAAAATGCACACATGGACTACATCACAATGCACAGGTGATATGTTTAGAACGACAGTGAAGACCACATCACAATGCACGGGTGATATGTTTAGAACTACAATGCACACATGGACTACGTCACAATGCACAGGTGACAAGTTCAAACCCACAATACACATCACTGCACACATTTGCTGTGGAACTAGAATGAACCCCTCCGCCGGACGGAGGAGGCATCCTCTCAACACTACATGCCTGTTAGGAGGCTCTGCTCCTCGAACTGGTCCATTTGTGGTCTAGACATTGTCATCAGTGTGTAAAACAAAGACATGTTGTGTGAGTTAGGATCATAATTAACTGTTTGATTTTCTGTAAAAAAAATTAAGAGAGCGAACACAGTGGTGTCCCAACGACTTGAATTCAAAGCTAGGACGGCCCGCAAGGACTGCCCGAAGTTTTCCCCTTAAATTTAATATTCTGAAACGTCTTTACAAACAAGAAAGACGCTGTTTATGTCTTCATAATCTGAAGGCTCTTCCTAGCACTTGTTCTAATTATTGCCCTGTGATTGCACAATTCAGTCGCTGGGACTTTGTATGTTTGTCTGAAAACTGCACCCACCTGATAGTGGCGCTATCTGCCTGGCTGGTCGCTACGAGGCGTGCTTCACGAGTTCCCTGCAATAACAAACATAAAACTACTATTGCATCAACAAGTGTTGTTTACAACAACGATACGTGAACAAAACGCCACCTGCTTTAATACATAAACAAGCAAATGTATCCGGATGGTTCTATTGTCAATCATTTACACCCAAGTTGAAAACAGTCCGTACATAAAGGAAACTTTAAACTATTGATGTCGTGAACATTAATATTACACTGCTCCGACAGACAACGATAAAACCGATCTTGTTATACGCATACATATTTCCTCAATGACGGTACGGACAAAAGAATATCGTTCATAAGCTAAAAAAGAAAATCTTGAATATTAGGTTATAGAATAGTATGAAGGAGCAAGGATGCACATTTAACTCTTCATAACTCTTCAGGCGTGGCAGGTTAGAGTTGCAAATGAAACCTAAAACCCTAAAATTAATGTAAATGGATGCAGTCATCAGAGCATACCCAGAGGCCTCAGCCTGACTCGGCTTCCTGGTCCGAAGTTGTGTGAAAGACAGCACGTCGTAACGCTATCTGAAAAGTGCTGGGCAACCTGACACGCGTCCTTGAAGTATAAGGTCACCATAAGACACTGGTGGCGTGGCGCAGTTATCAGAGTGAGTACTTGCAGGTGAGCAAGGTGTGTAACGCCGCACTCAGCAATTTTCAAACTGTATGACGGCGGTCTGTACATAATCGAAGTTATTAATCCAGTTATTGCCTTCATGAGCATCAATCTACGCAATTGGGTCACGATGACATACATCAACCAAGTCAGGGAGCCAAACCACCCGATCTCATTAGTCGCTTCTTACGACAAGCATATTCGCCTTTTACGGCAGGCATGAGTTGCTGAAGACCTCTTCTACCACTTATCTTCACGGGTCTCACATACGTGGTTATCAGAACATTTTAAAGTAATCGTAAATTTATCACTGCCAATACTGTTTGTATGCACTACTACACAGGGACTGTAATATTTATGCTAATCTATCTCGATATTACATTGCAACAAAAAACAACAACTATAAATACAACGAAGTTGGATAGATCTAAAATGATAGCCGACTTTTTGTCAATAACAGATATCCGGAAATGACTCTTCGTTAATTAGAAGACGTGTTATTATTTTTTAAAATGACAAATAAATAACGAACATGAATTGTATTAGCAAACGATAGCATTGTGCAAAGTGGTTGTATAAGTGAGTAAGCAAGTGAGGCTTTATGTGGCCTTTAGCAATGGGCTTCACGCATTGTACCCATGTGGGGAATCGAATCCGGGGCTACGGCGTGAGGAGCGAACGCTTTAACCACAAGGCTACCCCACCGGGACAATTGTATAAATAACAAGAGTTTGCCGCTAACGTGGCTATATCCCCCGCCCCTGTTGCAGAATTCGTGACATAATTAAATCTTAACAAACCATAACCTTTTTTAACCGAGGTTTGGAACCTAAGTCCACTTGGTTGCCATGGAAACGTAAAAAATAAAAATTTCTAAAAATTTCTAAATAGCAAAAGGCACCAGTTCAGCATGTACCTGACAGACCTGCAAAGTTTCATGAAAAAATATTGAACGGTTTATGAGTTATGCTCCTAAAACGAACCCTACCCTCACAGAACCTAAGTCCTTCTTGTTGCCATGTAAACGTATAAAATAAAATTTTCTAAAATTTCTAAATAGCAAAAGGCACCAATTCAGCATGTACTTCACAGACCTGCAAAGTTTCAAGAAAAAATATTGAACGGTTCCTGAGTTATGCTCCGGAAACGAAACGTGACGGACGGACGTACGGACGGAACCCGTTTCTATATCCCCCGCCAACTTTGTTGGGCGGGGAATAATTACCCTGTCAAGGGAATCTATCGTATCGAGGAAGTTCGTCGTGTCAAGGAAGTACAACTTGATAATTTCAGTCTTCACTATTTCCCCTATATCATACTGCAGTATTTGTCGTATTTGATTGGCATTTACAAGTTGAAATCTTTATAGATAACAACATCTTTAATGTCTGTCAAGATGAAGGGGCAAGGAGTACACGTAGCCATGAAACGTCGTTACAAACAATAAATACGTTCTAGTACATAAAAGTTTCATATCTTCTGTACATATTTATCTTGTTCAGGTTTAGGAACATAGTGTCAGTATGATGTTTACGAACCGTATCGTGATAACTGTTGAAAATGTTGAGTGAGTGAGTTATGTTTACCGCCGCTTTTAACAGTATTCCAGTTATATCACGGCGTGTCAGCTTAATGTGGGAGGAAATCCCGAAGTGATGCAGGTCTCAGACGTTTACCACTTCGGTGAAAACCCACGAGCACGGGTATGGTGTTGACAAACCTAGAAACATAATCGGGGCGAACCGGGATTCGAACCCACAATCATAGGTTTCTGGCGTGCCCAAGGGACGCAACTATGCACAGCGAATTGCGGCGCCTTAGACGATTGGGCCACCCGTGCCCCCTGAAAGTGTTGAACAAACATACATATCAAGAGGGCTTGGCAGATGAATACAAAGTCATCACGGTATATATAGGGGATAATTGCAGAGCCGCATCTTCTTTGAAGTTTTCTGTATACTGTTTACGTTCTATGTCACGCAGTTTATAATGGAAATTATAATTAACAGCATAGGGGATGATAAACTAAACCCCCGTTAATCCTGAGCCTGTCAGTGAGGACACACACTTCTTCCTCTGGACAATTGCAGTTGGGAACATCAAAGGTACCATCTCCGTACCCATGATTCATTGATCCGGACAGTTTACCCAGAAACAAAGTGTCTTGAACAACAGGGTTTCACTGTGTAACTGTGTACGTTGATAGTGATAGAACAATGACAGAGAATAATTAAATATTATTGTGTGAAACGTCACTGACAAGAATTCTACCCTGCCCGTGACAATACAAAAATGTCTATAAGATACACAGAGATTGGATGGTGATCAGGTTGAAGACATTTCTTTTGAACATAAAGGGGAATTTGTACCATTTTCAAACCATTAGCAAGAAGGAAGTTGAAAGTACTATGACAGCCCATGTCACGACCAATTGTTTTGGAAAATATCTACAAGACACACATGAACCCATTTTTATATAAACCAATTCTTTGCGCAAATGTTTATAAAACATGAATAGGGGTATTCAAATATCGGGAAACTTATGAGTTGTAAAGATATAACAATTTCAACATTCCGTGTCATGCACGATGCACGCCTAGTTGGTAAACGTCTACGTGTATTTGAAATCATATTGAAAGTTAGTACTTCCTTCCAACAGGAGGAAAACAGAGGTCGTCTTCCATATGGCGGAATTACACATCCTCGTGTATTCACATTGTTGCGTCTTGGCGAGGTGCTAGTGAGTGGATTTAGGTCCTGTTAACCCTTTCACGAGTTGCAATACAACCGGAGAAGAGAAAACAATCACGACAACGAAGAAGCAAGCATTAAGTCCAACAGCCAGTAAAATCTAGAACATTTCAAGAGGGCCCAAAGTATTCCTGTCTCAGCTATATTTCGCTGTGACGTTTCGACTAACCAGTCATATATGTTGATATCTAATCAGGTCTTGGCTGCATGTTAAAATGCCATTAGTTATGGATATATCCAGTTCTAGCAATGCAGCTAAAGGTTGAGCATGGCTTTATTCACCTTTCACCATGGCCATATACAACTATTGTCTCAGTAAATCCCACCCTTGACCATCCTGCCAAATAACCAACACTCAGCAACGTAAAGAATTAGCTGAAATTTCAAGGAAGACTCCGTAAATAATCGTGTCTGGACCAGACAATCCAATGGTTGACATCATGAGCATCGATCTACGAAATTGGGATAAGATGACATGCATTAACCAAGTCAGCGACCCTGACCACCCGATCTCTTACTACAAGCATAGTCGCCTTTTACGCCAAGCATGGGTTCCTGAAGACCTTCTCTAACCCAGATCTTCACGGATAAATATCCCAGGGGTTTAGTCTGCACCTTACCTACCCAGGATACTGGTCTTCATAGTGATGTATACGTAGGTTCTTTACAGGAACTCGAATTCCGAGGTTTACCGACAATATGTCGGGTTACTAGCTCGAGACAAGGCGGGTGTCAATATCTAAACATATTTATGGCAAAGGTTATGTCGTGACCTTAACTTCTGGTCGTAAACGATGCATCGAGTCAGGGTGATGCGGGTAATGAAGCGTCACTGTATCTGATGATAAAACTGTATTCACGACTGTTCTTACCTTTCGAAACCTCCACTTTAAAGAAGAAATGAAACGTGGATATATTCTAAAACAGCCACACTGTTATCGCCACCTACAAACCTCCAGTTGTATTATGAGATAGTATTCAAAAACAATTGTATATATGTCGGTCAGTATTCACGAGCTTGACCTCGCACGTGCAGTTTCCCACACTGATTACTACACTCCGCTGCCTTGCTTGGCCATTCATAAACATATTGGGAGTTTTTGTCAAGGTATGGAAGGGTAGTCACATGACAACACAGTACACTTGGCAATCTACGACAAATTAGGATTAAATAAAAACGATCGTTTATGGATAAAAAGTAATGAAATATAAACACGGTAAATACTCCAACCCCACATATACAGCAATGTAATGGAAACACCAAACCTTTGGACAGAACGACAGTTTATAGGTATACAGAACTTTGTTTGTTTGTTTCTTGTTTAACTCCGCACTCCACAATATTTCAGCTATATGACGGCGGTCTGTAAATAATCGAGTCTGTACCAGACAATCCAGTGATTGACATTATGAGCATCGATCCACGCAATTGGGATCAATGACATGTAGAAACCAAGTCAGCGAGCCTGACCACCCGATCCCGTCAGTAGCCTCTTTCGGCAAGCATGGGTTGCTGACGACAAATTCTATCCCGGGGCTTCACCAATAACAAACAGAACAATTTCAGTACTTTTACATAATTATGCATATGAGGAACGAGACTTGTACATGGATTAATAGGTATATCCCGATCAAAGGTTCGGAGAGTTTATAATATTTAACCACTTTATCCTTTTCGTTTCATAACGTACTTCATATTCACGGTTTAAAATTTGCTGTGAACTTAAATTGATGTACAGTTTAAATTGGCATTAAACCAAACTCACTCGATGAACAAGTTGACGATAGTAATGGATCAGCTGACTGACTTTATCTGGAGTATAACACTGATAAAGGGCTCTTAAATTCTGTACCAATTATGCAAGACCTGCATCACACACACACACGCACGCACTCTCTCTCACACACACAGAGACTCGCTCACTCTCTCTTTCTCGCACACGCAGACATCAAACTAATGCGCTGTGATATAACTGAAATATTGTTCAAAGCGGCGTTAAACCCAACTCCTTAACCTTTGCATCATAACACATACAGTGAACATGAACAGTTGTGTAGGTAAAGCAGTGCATTGGTAAACAATGCATCCAGTAACGAGTGTCAAGTATATCTGAGAATGTCGCCTCCTTCAAACACTGAATTTCAAACTAATCTCGATGAGATCAATAATCGATTTTGCAAAGGCCAGGTTTACAAAACCTGCTTCAGAATGGACTTTGTACTTCTTAAGGAGGACGGTTAAGGTATGCAATATCATTTCCGTGGACTTTGGTAATCAGCGAAGACACGAATAAAACGTTCCGGAATTAGCAGGGAATCGATGGGTATATTTTTAGGTTTGATCTTACCTGGACACACACACACACACATAATGAATCGATTTCATACATGCCAGTCGCTATGTGGTTGAAAACGCTGGTGCAACGTTACATTTAACTCACTCACTGAAAGGCCAGATCAATGGTGTTTATGTCACAGAGAGCTGCACATGTAGGTTCACGCCGTCAGTTTTCTAAAACCAAACATTTGTGGAGCTACTTTAGCATTTCAACTACTGGCACCACCATTACATTTTGCGCTTTCCCATATGCTTCTTCGTAGTGACGGTGGGGTAGCCTAGTGGTTAAAGCGTTCGCTGATCACGTCGAAGGTCTTGGTTCGATTCCTCACATGGGACAATGTGTTATGCCCATTTCTGGTATTCGCGGCCGTGATTTTGCTGGAAAATTGCGACAACAAAAACGGCGTAAAACCATATTCACTCACTGCAAATGCCCATTTACGTGAACACATGTTCATTTTCTGAAAAATAGGAGAAATAAGATAATCCTGTTTGGATATGTTGCAACGGTGTTCCTTTGAATGTTCTTGTGGGGAAAAAGCCGTGTAATGAAGACATGAAACCTTCAGGGATAACAAGCTTTGAATATTTGGTAACGGCGTTTCTCAACACACAGCCCTGTAATATCAGTACAAACAATACGGAAGTAGTTATCCTAAAGCGTTTCAGATCAGTGATTATCCGGGTACAGAATAGGTCATCAGCAACCCATGCTTGCCGTAACAGGCAACTATGCTTGTCGTAAGAGGCGACTAACAGGATCGGGTGGTCATGCTCGCTGACTTGGTTGATGCATGTCGTCGTATCCCAATTTCGTGGATCGATGCTCATGATGTCAATCACTGGATTGTCTGGTCCAGACTCGATTATTTACAGACCGCCGTCATATAGCTGGAATATTGCTGAGTGCGGCGTTAAACAACAAACAAACAATTAAGCGTTTTATGTCTTTATCTTCTTACAAAGTAAAAGACGTCAAAGATATGATGGTTCCAAATGATATCAATTTCTGTACCATCAAATGAAAGTACATTTCAGAGGTAAATCAAACTTACTCACTCTTCGTGGTTACAGGTGATTTGGGTGGACCGGTCATCTAAGGTACCGCAGTTACTGTGTGTGAGCTGTGAGTTGTGTGTCTGTGGCGGATAAAGATGATTGAAAACATCGACGAAATTACAAATCATACGTTAGATTTTACTCAAAGTCCAGATCAATGGGTTTATGTCACAAACACAGCTGTAGATTAAGACTTTGCAACTCGACGCGACAGCGCCAAGAACCTGATATAAACTTTCCGTGGACTTTGGGCAAGCACAAGACAAGATTAAGCATTCCAGTGTTAGTCAGGGATCAATAGTTTACATTGGAGACATACATCCTGGCGACCCGTTGGAAGCAGCATATAGTATCCAGAACGTGACGCAGGACAGCAACAAACCGTAGCTCTCACACAAACGTGTACAGTCAAATGTAAGACAAATTTTAATCTATTTCTAAATTAAGGACGTTTTCTATTATAATAAAATAAATGCTTTCGTCGTATTTAGACAATAGGTAGTATTCATTTTAGTGACCATATTTGAAAATTTGCTTATGTTATGTTGTGTGTTAGTTATTAACGTTGCAGTAAGCAATTTTCCAGCTATACCAAGGCGGCGTGTAAATTAATAATGTAGTTTGTATAAAAAAAGTGGTCGATATTATGAGCAACATCCCATACCGTCGGGTACAACTAACCAAGCCTTGACCATCCGCTAATTTAAGTCTATTCTTACGACAACCACAGAGTATCTATTCTATCACGTAACGTCTGTGGGGATATTATCCGGGTACAGAATATTCATGTCAGAGCTTACGATACATTTTGAAATCAAATTCAGTAGTTAGTCAGTGAATCAGTGAGACTGTTCCACGCCGCTTCGAGGATTGCCGTCAGAATTCCAGTTAAACCACGGCGTGTCAGCTTAATGTGGGAGGAAAGCCCGAAGTGACGCGGGTCTCAGGTCTTTACCTCTTTGTTGAAGCCATCGAACACGGGAATGGTGCGGTCAAACCAAGAAACATAATCAGATCGAATTTGGAATTTGACCACGATCACATGTTTCCGGCATGCCTGAAGGACACCCCTCTGCAAAGAGAATGTGACACCTAAGACGACTTGGCCACCCGTGACTCCACGATGCGATGAGCCCATGATAGCTGAGGGCGCCTTCAATAAGTCACGACAGCACATGTGTTTAACACTACACCTACTACAGCGTACATGCTATTATTGTGAGTCTTTTGGTTGGTCGTTATGGCGCCACTGGTCTGCAAGCTTAACTATCGCTTGTTCTTTGTCAGTGCCGTGGCCGGCTGTGAGATCTTGGCTGAGAAGGTTTCCACTCCTTCCCTAGCTTTGTCTGTACGCATGTAGCGAAACCGCGTTAGACTTAAGAAGTCTTACTGTTAGAAACGTCTACACACATTGACATCCACAGGACATAACTCCGTACCAAATTAAAAATTTCGTTATTCCGGAAAGAGGCGCAGTCCGGATTATCGGGGTTTAAAGTATACTGAGTGAGTGAATGAGTGAGTTCGTTCCATCGATAGTATTAACTGTATCAGAAATCTATGGATACAGTGTCGAATTTGACACATTCCAGACTTGTTTATTCTGAACGTGTTAAGGATTTCTCTGTTAACAGAATTCAAAACAGAAACATTTCCAACTGGGTTAATATTTAGAATCTAAACACGGTTCTTACATTGTACGTGTCACAGATCCAGAGAAACATGTGATCAATAGCAATAGTGTGAGTCTCTCTCTCTCTCTCTCTCTCTCTCTCTCTCTCTCTCTCTCTCTCTCTCTCTCTCTCTCTCTCTCTCTCTCTCTCTCTCTCTCTCTCTGATGGCTGCCCCCACGAAAGCTGCCCCCACTTTCCGTTTTTGTCCATAACAGAGTTTTCTTACGATGTAAGAAAGTACATGTTTCATGATTAAAGAAGATATTAGAATGTGGAATTTTAAAATACTTCATGAATGGATGTCGATTGTAGATGTACAATTGAGTAGTGTAGCATGCGCTTTTTTAAACTGTCGATCACATGCGTAGCTTCCAGTAGTGACATACAGAAAAACATGATGAATGGTTTCAGCACATGATGGAAGTATGGGGCTAGAAACAACGTGACGACCCGGCTAAAACAGGCCTGCGCCATCATGTTGGTGCGTCAGATGGTCAGTATCGATATTTGTATCATTGCGTGGCATTGTACCCCCACGGCGTGGGGCTATGCTCATAACATCCATCACTGGTTTGTGTGGTTCAGATTCGGTGATTCACAAGCGGCCGTGGTATAGCTGCAAAACTGCTACATGCGGCGGTAAACAACATCCAATCACTTTCTTGGAACCTCGTTCGCTCAGGATTTGTAATGGGGTAAATTAATAAAGTATTAATTGGTAATTAGGCAGAAGTGGGGCCACGATGTAACACGCAAATGAACTGAGCTAGGTTACGATAACCTCGCCTCTATTTCAGTGATTGGTCTCATCAATGCAGTAAACCCTTTATGTAGCGTTTAACATAAGGTTTGATTTTGAATACAGGCTACATTTTAGCCAAGGTGTTACGCGGAAGAAACGCGTTCCAAAAGGTCGTGTTAAACTATATAGATCGCCCATATCGTACAGTGTGTAATGAGAATCAGAAATGTCACATAAGGTAATGAAAGGATCAATGGCGTTAAACACGTGTGAATAATTCATGCTGTAACGTGTGCAGCCTACTGCATTAGAAAAAAACGTTTGCAATAATCATTGTTGCTATATATGAGCAGTGTTTCATATTCGTCAATACATGTTTATAATCTCCACGCAAAATATAATTCAACCAATATTGATATGCACATCATTAAGACATTAAAAATATTTCGTTCTCAAAATGATTTGAGAGATAGTATTAATAACAAGATTTGATAGGACTTACAGTTTCCAACAAGGAACAGCTTATTGCCGCCAAGCGCAGGGTCGAACACGAATGAATGCACTTGACCACATTGAATTGGACTTCTTGGAAAATGCTACCTCGCGCGTTTACCAAGAATAGCAACAGGTTGCCGGTGACGGACCTTGAAAGGCGATACAATTGTCAATGTGGCAATAACTGAATGATCGTATCACGCATGTTCCCGTGATCATGCTCCATACTCGGGGAAAGTTGCATTATAGTATGCATGTGTGCATACATCAATAATAAGATAAACTGTCTGCATGACAATCATGATACAAGCTATATTAAACGAAACACGTAACCAACCATACAAACTATTTGTTTGATTGGCATTATAGAGGGTGGTGAGTAAGTAAGAAACGTACAACTTTATGGATCACAACTTCTGGTTTATTGTATGTAGCGACGTTTTCGATGTAGATTCTTACACCGTTATCAAGCAGCAGCCGTCAGTCAGACCAATGTCAGCGTGGCCAGGAGAAGGCTGACTATTGATCAGTCGTCAAGGGAAGCTGAAGACTCGTGCTAAAAAAACCACTTGCTCATGCTTGTTCTTATATAAGCTTACATGATCAGTATGTACACAACAGATAAAGACTCCCAATATTTGATTATCCCATGACTCCATGAGACTGTTCACAAAGAGGACCGACTATTTGATTTTTTATTTCTGGGGGAGGGGGGTCTAGGATTTTATCGAAAAAAAATACTGTCCCAGAAGATTATTGAAAGTAATTTTGATAAAATAATGTTCATAAAAAAATGCAACAAACATTACATTGTTGCAAGGTGTTTTTCTTCAAAAAGATAGTTATAGTTTTATTTTTTTTTAAATATCTAGGAACGCCGTGATATAACTGGAATAATGTTAAAAGCGGCGTTAAACCCAACTCGCTCACTCACTCATAGCTATAGCTGAAACATATGTAATCTCGACCCCAGGTCCCCACCAATATCAAAAGTTTTTTATTCCTGTTTAACCTATATCTGTTATCTCATGGGTAGATATCATTATTTTGAACACTCTGTAAACACCATTTCGAAAGGCCATTTCACCACGTCGTTAGGTGGTGAATGCCGTGTCCCTTTACCACTCAAAGCCATCAGGAATTCGATACCTCAAATCTACCCAAGGACCTAGATGTACAAACAAACCATTAAGAAAACAACTAATGTCCTTTTTGAAACGTGAACGAATGCACATCGACTCTATCTCCATGACAGACAACAAATGACAAACAACTCTGCACCACACTTAGAAAACGAAGTTAATGCGACCTGGATGACATTTGCAGATCTGGTTTTGAATTCAATATCGATAAAACCATCGTGGATAAAACCAACAAGCACTTTTGGGATATCAAACAAAAACATGTGTTGGTTTCAAGCTTGATAAGTACACAACAACATGCATGACAGTGAGGACGAAGGGCAACTTTTGGATCAGATTTGGAAACAGTTTTCAAGCTCGCACTGAGATGACGAAAACCATTAACTACCATATCGACCGAAGGCACAACGAAGTCATTTTCAATTTCAACCAATCAGTGTTAATGTTAAACCGTCATGACAATAAAGATATGAATATTCTTATCACTACCGCAATAAATAAATGAGATAACCAACCAAAATGAAAGACATAATAATTATTTAAAAACCTACAATCACGAATCAGTTGAGGTTCATAGGAGGAGTGAGTGAGTTAAAATGTAACGTCGGATCGGCATTATTTTAGCCATATAGCGACACGACTCTAGGATAGGATGATGATGAGGTGAGGTGAGGTGAAATTGGGTTTAACGTCGCGTCCATATTATTATTGCACTTATATAGCGACGTGCATGCAGGTGTGAGTGTGGCTGCTTATACTGATGGCGATTCATAGTGCTAGCTCACTGAGATACCATGCCGCAGTTTAACATGAATACCCCACTCAGACACAGTATACTGACTCCGAGCCGACCAGTCCTTGTTTTAGCCCCTTAATACTAAGCGCCCGGTAGGGTAACAAGTACCATCTTTTAACGTCTTTTGGTATGACGCGGCCGGGGATCGAACCCCTGACCTTCCGCTCTCCGGGCGGACGCTCTAGATCACGTAGGCAGCGAGGAGGGTGATGACATAACTTAATATACAATA